CTTAACCCTCTAGTGCTCCTAGCTTCCCACTGCCAGTGGTCACATCATTTTGCCTGAGACCTCTCTCTAAGCCTTTGATAGGCCATTCTGCTAGCAGAGGGCAGGGAACCAGTGAGAGGTGGTCATAATACCCCAGCTCCTTTGCCTTTCCCCTCTCCTGTATTCTATACCATTTCCTGGTGTTCCCCTTGGCCTCAGTGCCAATCTCCCCCATTGGTAGCTGGTGTGATGTTGTCCTTGTTGGTAAATGCACACTTTTCTCTCTTCTCTATCTCACTTTTCTGCTCCTCTTCTCCTGGTATTTTCTCTCCTCGCCCCCCAACTCCCACATAAATCACCTCCACTTCACTATTTATCTCAGGACCTGCTTCTGGGGGAACCCGAACTAAGACATAAATTAATCGTGTCAATTAATTTTCAGCCTCCCTGGGCTGAAAGGTAATTTAGTGCATGTTTGCATTCTCTTTGCAAAAGCTTCTGAAAGCAGTGGGTGCTAAGCCATTTCACATTTGTGCTTTGCCGCCAAGAACCCGACAACAGAAAGCTCAGGACATGCAAATGTCAGCCCCTGAGGGCACAGCTGCAACTGACAAAACTATTTATTGGAGGCATTCTGGCTGTCAGTTCAAATCTCCGTTGATGATCAGAGGCATTCACTCATTCTGCAAATATTTTCTGAGCTCTGCCTCTCTGCAAGAGGCCCAGGCGGCTCTGGCTGAACGGAAAACAAGCACTGTCTGTTTTCTCTGAGATGTAGCTTTCAGATTACTCTATTAAAAAAACACGAATGAATCTGTTCAAAATTAATGTTTGACAACTGTGGGACTGGTGAGGATTCTCAAGCAGGAGAGAGGTGACTGATGCCAGGTTGTTGGTTTCATTCTTTCCTTCTTCATATTATATTACTTGCTGGGTAGTTGACTGAGTCATGGAGGCCCCAACTCATGGTGACCACATGTGTATCAGATGGTGCTCTATAAGGTTTTCAGGGTCTGAGTTTTCAGAAGTAGATCACCAGGCTTTTCTTCTGAGGCACCTCTGGGAGGACTCAAACCTCTAACCTTTCAGCTAGCAGTTGAGCATATTAACTGTACCACCCAAGGGATCCTTTGCTTAATATATAGGATTTATTTCCCTCAATTGTAATAGCTTCGCCCTTTCTCAAGGAAATAAACACTACAATGTCATGTACACCATAGGAATGTTGGAACAGAAGCAAGGTGGCAAACCACAGGGTCACTGAGATTTAACTTTGGGAACAAAGCCAGAGAGAAATGACAGGCCCAAGTGGAGTAAAGGTCACTGGACTGAGAGCTAGAAGAGTTGTACTGTGGTGCTGCCAACCAGCTGTGTGACCTTGGGAAGGTCATTGTTCTCTCTGGGTCTCAGCTCCCTCACCTCTAAAATGAGGGAATGGGATTGGGTAATCTCTAGGGTCCTTGATTATAATAAATACTCATGAATCTTAACAAGGGAGAAATGGCCAAAATCATATCTGTGGTTTCACTTCGCCTCACCTCTGTGTTGCTTCACTTCTCACTAGGTTTGGGTGGAGCTGCACTTTTTTTAAAAAATTTTTATTGTGATTTGGATGAAAGTTTACAGAGAAAATTCATTTTCCATATAGCAGTTCATACACATTTTGTTTCATGACATTAACTGCAATTCCCCACAATGTAACAGCTCTCTTCCCACTTCCTCCTTCTAGTTACCTCTTCCTTGTGTCCTTCTTTCTTATGCATTTCTTCCCCCGGAGCTGTCTCCCTGCGCAAAGACTGCCCTTCTGTTCTCCCATGATTGATCATTCTAAGGAGTGTATCTACCTGCTGTTAATGTTCACCCTATATGCCTGTCTGTTGTTTGACTGGAAGCCATGGGAGTGAGCTCAATTTGGAGCTGCGTTTTGTATAGCTACTTAGGCACCTATTTGCCACAAATAAAATGTCTCTAGTGACCTGGCCCACAGAACAGAAGGTTTAAAAGAAAAGAAGCTATTGAAAGGGGATATGGGATGGAGCCACCACCCATCTGTTGGCTTACTGTATGTGGTGGCTTATGTGTTGCTTTGATGCTGGAAGCTATGCCACCGGTATTTCAAATACCAGAAGGTCAATCATGATGGATCAGTTTTAGTGGAGCTTCCAGACTAAGACAGACTAGGAAGAAAGGTCTGGCAACTTACTGAAAAAAATTAGCCAATGGAAACCCTATGGATCACAAGCCAACATTGATGGATATAGTGCTAGAAAACGAGCCTCCTAGGTTGGAAGACACTCAAAATATACGGCGGCTGCAGTAATGGACTTGAGCACAGCAACAATCAAGAGATGGTGTGGGACCAGGCAATGTTTCAGTCTGTTGTACCTGGGGTGACCATGAATCAGAGCCAACGCAGCGGTGACTAACCACAGGGGCTGGAGAAATGAGAGAGTGAAGATTGTTTTCTGAGCTGGAAAACATGTGAGAGATCCAGAACTGGTGAAGGCCCTGCTGGGAAGGTCTCTGTTGACACTTGGAGAGTAAGGGGTTTGAATGTGGAAAGAAGACCAGAAAGGATCCTTCTATTTTTCTTTTGGTAGGTTTTATAACTCTTGTGGTTCTCAACCCTGGCTCATGTTACAGAGTCACACAGAGAGCTTTAAAAATCACAAAGCCCCTCTCTTTCTTCAGATTTTACTGGTCTTGGATGGGCTTGGGCATGACATTAAAAACAAACAAACAAACCAAAAAACTCTGAAGTAATTCTGCTATGCAGCCAGAGTTGAAAACTAAGTGACTCCTAAGAAGCCCTGGTCGTGCAGTGGTTAAGTGCTCAGATGCTAATTGAAAAGGTCAGAGATTTGAACCCTCCAGCCACTATGTGGAAGGAAGATGTGGCAGTCTGCTTCCATAAAGATTACAGCCTTGGAGACCCTCTGGGGCAGTTCTACTCTGTCCAATAGGTTTGTGATGACTCAGAATCAACTTGACAGCATATAAAAACAAGTGATTCCTGAGTGCAGGAGCAGCTCTCTGGCCTTCTCTTAAACACCTACTTGATTTTCCCCACTTGCTTCATGTTTTCTTTGCTCTTCTCTTTTCTTCTTCTGCCTTAAAATTCCAAAGTCATGAACCCCAAACATGGAAAATGGAAGAATAAACTCTATGTATTCTATTTTCTGGTTAATTCCTTAATAATTTATGAAGTTTAATAAGAATTGTTGCCCTCTATGAACACAATTAATGCTACTTAAGAAAAAAATGAGAAACATACAGAACAAGAAAGAAAAAAAATATTCCAAAGTATCAGGCCCATCATCAAAGATAAGCACTGCTAACACTAATAACATTTTATTCTTTTCTTTCTAATCTTTTCTTGATGCCTAGGTTGTTTCTGTTTTCATGCTTTACTCCACTATACATTCCAGAGGTTGATAAACTATATCTCACAGGCCAAACCCAGTCCCCATCCTAATTTTGTAAATAAAGTTTTATTAGAACACATACTCATACATTTACATATTGCCTATGGCTGTTTGCTCAGTACAGTGCCAGAGTTAAGTAGTTGTGACAGAAACCACCTGTCCCACAAAGACGAAAATATTTGCTAGCTAGTCCTTTGCAGGAGTTCTGGTGATGCAGTGATTAAGGCATTCAGCTGCTAACCAAAAAGTTTGGTGGTTTGAAACTACCAGCAGCTCTGTGGGAGAAAGAGGCAGTCTGCATCGATAAAAATTTACAGCTTTGGAAACCCAATGGAGCAGTTCTACTCTGTTCTTTCACAGTTGGTTGCTGAATTGCAATTGACTTGATGGCAGTGGATTTGGTTTGGTTTGGTCCTTTGCAGAAAGTATGCTGGCTCCTGGAATATAACTTTCTGTATTCTCTCTCTCTCTTTTTTTTTTCTCTTCCATTTTACCTTATGATATGAACATTTTCCCATGCTATTAATGACTGCCTGATATTTTATCATTTGGTTAGGTTGTGGTTTAGTAAATTATTCTATTATTATTAACATTTATGTGGTTTCTTTCCCTCCCAATTTTTTCACTCTTTTAATGCCTCAGTGAGACCATCTGAACATAACCTTCATATATATTTTCAGTTATTTCTTTTAGTGTCCAGATTATTTGACTGGTAGATAGGGGCATCTTTAAAGCTCTCAATACATGTTACCAAATTCTTTACTCAAAGGTGTCATACCAGTTTGTGCTCCCCCATACTAGAGGAAACAGCCTGCTTCCCCACATACTTGTCAGCACTGAGTATTACCATTTAAACACTTTTTGGTTTAGACAGGTAAGCAAAAACTATTACACTCATTCTTTACTTAAAGATATGGTTAGGTCCAAAGGACAACGTTGCTATGCAAAAATTGGCATTATGCGAAAATGAAGGATGACCACATCAGACCACAAAATAAAGAATGACTACATCATTACATAGCTATTATATTACACCATTACATAACTGCCAATGCATTGAGGATCCTGGCCCACTCAAATTGACCCATAACTTAACCATCACAACCAGTGTCACACTCACCTTGCACCTCGGTATTTGTTGCTATCAGATATATGTTGTTAACGCACAAAATATTTGAATAGTAGGTTTTTTACTATTGTTGTAAATGTGAACTGTCAGATAAGATAGTCAATAAGCAAAGATTAGGTATATTGTAATTGGCATTTCTTCTATGTCTTTAAGGAGCTCTGGAAGCATAGTGCCTAAGGCATCTGACTGCTAACCAGAAGGTTGGTGGTTCAATCCCCCCAGCCACTCCACGGAAGACTGGGCAATCTACTTCTGTAAAGGTTTACCACCTTGGAAACCCAAAGGAGATTGTTATGAGTTGGAATTGACTTGAAGGCAGTGAATTTTTGGTTTTTGGTTTATGTCTAATGAGATCGGACTCACTGTTAAACAGTTGTATTTACTCTATTGCATGTTTGTCTCTTTTTTGTCTTTGCTTTGCATCTTTCTGCATAAGTAGTTTGAAGGATGCTGGTCCTGCTTCTCACCTTGGCTTGGAGCAACGCTCTTGCTTCCACCCGGTTCTTTTCAACATCTCTCTCCCAGCAAATTCTGATGGTCTCAAGGATGTCATCCAGGCCAGTGCCAATGGGAACATCCACTTGTTCCAGCTCAGATCCTGCCAACTGTTTGTACAGCACCTTCACATCCTGAAAACAACGACACCTCAGGTGAGCTTTAAGGGAACAAGAAAGGCCATGGAATTGCAGTCAGCAGAAGCCCAGTTCTGTGGGCAATTCATCCATTTTCATTTTGTTATGCCAAATGTGGCAAAGCCCCTCATCCTCTTCTGGCTGTACACACCATATTCTCTTTTTCTGAAGATGTATTTCTTAGGCTGATATTAGTAAATTCAGCCCAAACCAAAAACAAAAAATGAAAGCTAACTAAGCATCAACAGCAAAGTGAAGTTAGGCATAAAGCCAGACTAGGCTGAAATAAATTTAAAGATAATTCTGGAGTCTCTAAAGAGTTTCTATTGAAGATTGCTGTCAAAGTACTGAGCTATGAAAATGAAGAAGTGTGCTCATTGGTTCCTGGTTAGCTTAAGGCTGGACTCAAGAAGGAGCTTCCTGATGTGAGCATTGTTAAGTGGATTTTGAAGGGAGACTATAGACTCTTTCAACTGGCAGCACCTTAGAGCCCAGCTCAGACAGCGATATATGCGATTTGGTTTAGAATCAGTGCAGTTCTGCAAGGGACTGATCCACATAACTGTCCTGTCACTCCATGATCTGACCTAATTTAATTAATGTGTATATGTGAACCTATCTCAGAGTTATTTTCTTTGTCCTAAACAGTGTTGAAGGAGCTCTGGTGGTGCAGTGGTTAAGGAGTTTGGCTGCTAACCAAAAGGTCAGTGGTTTAAACCCACCAGATGCTCTGTAAAAGGATGAGGTGGTCTGCTTCTGTAAAAATTTACAGCCTTGGAAACCCAGTGAGGATTGCTATGAGTCAGAATCTACTCGATGGCAGTGAGTTTGGTTTGGTTGGTATTCAGTGTTTTTTTTTTTTTAGAAAAAAAGTCTGAAATAGAATGCCTTTAGTTAGAGGATGCTTCTTCTAATTCAGCATCAACTCCATCACTCACTATTGCTTGGACCTGATGCCTTCCCTACTTATGTACTGGCCCAGTCCCTAAAGCCCCTTGTGTTTGGGTCCTTGGGGTAACCTGACTGACTGTTGTTGTTAGCTGCCTTTAAATCACCCTGACTCAATGTCCTCATGTCCTCATCCTCATGACTCCATGTCCTCAAATTTTTGTCAAATTAGTTTTATCAATGACTTTATACAGAGAGTTATTTTCTTCTTCAGCTGCCTTTCGAAATGACTGCTCATTTTCATATCTGCAGATTAAGGAACTTAATCAGCATCACTGAGTGACCCAAAAGAAAAAAAAATCAGATTATATTGAAATTGCACAATCGTGATCCATAGGGGGTTTATGTTCATTTGCTTTTACATTAAATCATTTGTTTCTTGTACCAATAATAACTTGAATCTTTTTTCCCTTTACAGTTGATAGTTAGTATATGTTGATAGTAGTCTAATCAAGATCAGACAGTTCAATTTTTAATACAAAGGCACCAGTCTTTATTATGTAAAAAAAAAATTAGAGTTTCTTATTGTTTTAACTCTGTGATAAGCAGAATAGAAATTTTACTTGGAAGATCATAGGATTATGAATATAAATGTAACCACTGTTGATGTCATAGCCAAGCAATTTTTTAGTAGAAATAATGGCATATGAAACCATAAAATATAGCAAGCTTGAATTATTTACAAAATCTCTAGGAAGCACTGTGGATTCATCCAGTGCCTTGTAAACCCTACCTCTGTGTCTCTTAGGCCATGTTTCATACTTCAAGACCTCTGAATTTGATTTCTTTTTTTTTAAGTACATTATTGGGAGAAAAAAAATGGGAGTCCTGCCAACATAGTGCCGAAGGCACTTGACTGCTAACCAGAAGGCTGGTGGTTCAAACCCACCAGCCACTCCTTGGAAGGAAGGTTGGGTAATCTACTTCCGTAGTGATACCGCCTCGGAAACCCAAGGAGGGGTGGCTATAAGTTGGGTCCGACTTGATGGCACATAACAAGAACAACACAACATTGGGGAAAATACTAAAAAAAAAAAAAAAGAAGAAGTTGTCATTAAGTCAATTCCAACTCATGGCAGAGCCCCTGTGTGTCAGAATATAACTGTGTTCCATAGGGTTTTCAATGGCTAATTGTTTGGAAATGGATTGCCAAGCATTTTTTTTTTTTTTTTTCCCCTGAGGAAACTCTGGGTAAACTTGAACAGCAACCTTTTAGTTAGCAGCTGATATGAATCTTCTAAAATGTGAACTTTAAGTATCTTCTTGTTTGTCCCCCTATTTCTCTCTATGTTGCAGAACCTAATACATGTTGTTGTTGTTGTTGTTAAGTGCTGTCAAGTCGGACCTGACTCATACCGACCCCTCCTTGGGTTTCTGAGGCAGTATCACTGTGGAAGTAGATTGCCCAACCTTCCTTCCGAGGAGTGGTTGGTGGGTTTGAACCACCAGTCTTCTGGTTAGCAGTCAAGTGCCTTAGGCACTAATTGGGTATGCACTTACACAGTGCAGTGTAATGGGTTTCTCTTATATATGGCCTTCAGTGTATAATTCTGCCAAAATATTGGCTAAACTACAATCTTGCCAGGGATTGCCCGGTATAATAAGCCAGTTGTTGTTGTTGTTGTTATGTGCCGTCGAGTCGGGTACATAAAACCACTCATTAGGACTGAGTGACTTTATGGGGATTGGTCTATTGCTATGCAAATCTAGTGATTTTGGTCTACTGAGGGGATTAATAAGTTCGTGATCTGACTGGGAGGACCATGGTTTGAAATTGAATATACAGGTCAACCCCACAGAGGTTGAGGGAGAACTCCCTGCCATCGAGAAGAACCTGGAGCAGAATGCTTCCTTTGAACCTAGGGTCCCTGCCCTGAGAACCTCCTAAACCCAGAAGGAAGAGAACTGCAGCACTGAAGATGACAGGAGGTGGCAGAGAAATGGTGGCAACCACAGCAGAGCCCAGCAGCAGCAGACAGCTGCAGCGGGCTTGCCAAACCAGAGTGAAAGAGAAGGCTGAGTGTCTTCTGGCAGGAGGTTTACTGGTGGACGGGCGTGCCTCTGGGCACTTGTCAGCAGAGTTAAAGAGCTTTAACACTTGCCCAAACAGGACAGAGGCCTAGACAAGGCCTGCAGAATGGCACGGCCAAGAGAAAGGTCTACTTGCAGGTGATCCATAGGGTTTTAATGGCTTATTTTCAGAAGTAGATTGCCAGGCCTTTCTTTCTCATGTCTCTTAGTCTAGAAGTGCCACTGAAATCTGTTTAGCATCATAGCAACAGGCAAATGTCCATTGACAAATGGGTAGTGGCATTGGCAGGGAATGGAAGTCAGGTCTCCTGCGTGGAGGTGAGAATTCTATTACTAAACCACTACTGCCCTCATCCTGAGTGACTACAAAGATTTAAAAATATTCTCCTTGCCTTTTTCTTGCAACCCTGGGCAAGCACATGGAAAGGTCAATGGATATTAGAAAAAATATCTCATATGGATGAGATACCACAGGTTTTGAAGTACAGGTGATTATCCCTGGGCCATGTGATGACTCAGCACCATCCCAGCCCTCACCTACCTCTTCATAGTTTCTTGACAGAAAGTCAAGCTCTTCATTTAGGCTTTCTATTTGACTCTCCAGATCCATTTTTGTCAAATTAGCTTCATCAATGACTTTATACAGAGAGTTAATTTCCTCTTCAGCTGCCTTTCGAAATGGCTGCTCATTTTCATATCTGCAGATAAAGGAACTTAATCAGCATCACTGAGTGACCCAAAAGAAGAAAAAAAATCAAATTATCAATGTTGCCAATGAACCAATTATGTGATAGTTAGACAATGAATGCTAAAAGGTACCACCATTCCAACAGTTGAGGACCATTAATATAATTGTCACACATTGACTTAATGAAAATGAAAGAAATGGCAGCCAACTTCTGATAATCTGGCATAATGGGATGCCTGCTTCATGGGGCATTTGAAGCATAAAGCTCTAGGGGGAGCTTCTCCAGCAGTTCAGAGCCAGGTGGGGATTCTAGTAAACTCCTCATTACCTTTACCCTTGATTTGCCCTCTTTTCTCCTGAGGATTCTTTAACAAATATTACTGAGCATCTGCAAAGCTGCTATCTCCAACAAGCCCATATGAAATTCCAGAAGAGTGGCTGCAAACATAAATGCCTTTGGGGGCCAAGTGGAGGGGGGATTTGGCCAGGTTTGGATAACAAAGAGTGATGAGACTTCAGTACTCAGTTGAGCCTATATTTCACCTAAATGGGGTGCTGTTGATCTGCTCCTCCCCATTACTGTTGTGTGGGAAAGGCTTTGGGGTGGGGATACCAGGTAGCTAGATTTGTATGTGAAATATCCAGAGCTTTTAAAATTTGTAATTTATACAATAACATACATGCACATACACACACATATAGAAACACACGAATCTGAAAGCTATACACTCTGAGTTGTTTTACCCTACTTCATAAAATCTCTGGTTTGCACAGGATCTTCTTTCTAAAAACTATCCAACATCTTTGCCAGTTTCTCCCAGTGGCATGGCTTCCATAGAGGGGAGCAGTCACATGGCTTTCCTTTCATGGCCTTCAAATTTTACACCTTACGTCCATCCATCCATACAGGGGAGGGAGCGATCTCACATTTCTCATACCAGAAAACATCCCAGGGTAAAATTTTAAGGGTTTTTTTTTTTTTTTTTTTTGTTAGCTGCCATGGAGTTGATCCTCAACTCGTGGTGACCCCATGCACAATGGAACAAAACTGTCCAGACCTGTGCCATCCCCATGACTGGTCGTGGATTGTAATTCATAGGGTTTTCATTGGCTGATTTTTGGAAGTACATCATCAGGCTTTCTTCCCAATCCATCTTAGTCTGGAAGCTCCACTGAAACTTGTTCAGCATCACAGCCATGTGCAAGCCTCCAATGACAGATGAGGGGTGGCTGCACATGAGGTGCATTGGCTGGGAATCAAACTCAGGTCTTCTGCATAGAAGGTGAGAATACTACGACTGAAACTATCAATGTCCTCCTAAAGAACTTCAGAGTTCAGCTATTCAATATTACCCAGTGATGATCCCTCGATGGTATTCCTGATAGGTGATCATATAGCCTTTGCTTAAATACTTCTAGTTATGGGGAACTCATCACCTCTCAAGGACACAACTCCATTTTTCAACAGCTCTAATTTTTTAAAATTTCTTCCTTCAAGAACTTAAGTCTCCATTCTTCTAAGAGTCTGAGTTTTATTATCTGGAACACCAAAATCAGTCTAATAATCCTGCCCTTTTGGCAGTCCTACAAATATTTATAGACTGTCCCCTATGTTACTCTTTCCCTTTTCTCCCCTACCCCAATCCTTTTCTTTCTCAGGTTAGAAATTTCCAGTTCCTTCCTCTATTCTCCAGATGACTTGGTTTCCATATCCGTTCTCATCTTAAGATATGTTTGTGGAATAATTAAAAATACTCAAACTGCTCTACACCTTCTTTAGAATGTGAGACAGAGAACTGAATGCAAAAGTCCAAATGTTGCTTGATCAGTTCAGACTCCCTGAAACTGTCTGCTCCTTTGTTTAAACCTTCTAGTGCTATTCATTGTGGACCCTAAGATTTGTTTTGGGGGTCTTGTTTGTTTGCTCATTTGTCTTTTACCAGTTATACTTGCTGTGGACTAAAATTGAGTTTCTTGTCATTGGAGCCCCTGAGCATTTTTCATAAGGGCTGCTTTAGGCTTAGTTTTCTGTCTTCTCTGGGTGCAGCTGGTATGTGAACCATAAGTAGGAGTTCATATTTACCCCCTTCAATTTCATCAGCCCATTGCGCTAATGTGTTGTGGTCATTTTGAATCCTGATTCTGTCATTCTATTCTTCACTACCCTTCCTGACTTTGTATCACCTGCCATTTTGCCACATCTGCCTTTATTCATCTTGCAGGGAAAAATGTTTAAAACAGTCAAAATAAAGGACCAAGGGCAGAGCCCTGCGGCATACCACCAGAGACTTTCCTCAGAATTTGGTCTGTACCTTTAAATTGGCATTCTGGGGACAGTTTCTATAGCATTTTTTCCCCCCAGTACCTTAAGGAGCTCTGGTGGGTAGTAGTTAAGGCATTTGGCTGCTAACCAAAAGGTTGGTGGTTCAAACCCACCAGCTGCTCCATGGAAGAAAGATGAGGCAATCTGCTTATGTAAAGATTTACAGCCTTGGAAACCCAATGGGGAACAACATGAGTCGGAATCAACTCGATGGCAGTGAATTTTTTTTTTTTTTTTGTATATATAGGCTTAGATTTTGTACTTAAAAGTATTCTTTATGAAGAATTGTAGCTTATTAACATTAAATCCTTCTGGAAACAATTCCCATCCTTCCAGCTGAAATGAAAACTCACCCATTTTACCTAGGATTGGTACCTACAGACCCAAGCTGGAAGAGTCCCTCTCATCTTTCTACCTGCCTTTTGGCTCAGCTCTCCAGAGACCCTGGTTCCTGCCAGGATATGCTCCCTTCAGCGTTACAGGAGGTCTTAGGTACCCTACTATTGTGGATTGAACTGTGTCCCACAAAAATACTTTTTGGAATCCTAACCCCTATACATCTGGAAATAGGGGTTTCTTTGCTATGTTAACGAGACCATATCAATGTAGGGTGCGTTTTAAGCCAATCACCTTTTATTTTTTTTATTTTGCAGTGTTTCCTCCCCTCCCCTCCCCTCCCCTCCCACACTGGTAACCAACAAAGAAAGTCTCCTTCCATATATAAACCTTTCCTTGACTTTTTACAATAATGAGCTAATGCAATATTTGTCCTGTGATAAGTCAATGGAGAAAGACTGATGCCACGTGGAGATCCCCAGGGAACTGAGAAAAAGAAGCTGAAAGAGACAAGGACCTTCTTCTATTGCTGACAGAGAGAGAAAGCCTTTCCCTAAAGCTGGTGCCCTGAATTCAGACTTCTAGCCTCCTAAACTGTGAGAAAACAAATTTGTGTTCATTAAAGCCACCCACTTGTGGTATTTCCGTTATAGCAGCACTAACAAGCTAAAAACAGTTATAACAAAAACAAAAACAAACTCACTGCCTTCTAATCGGATCCAATCGTATGGACCCTTCCTTGGGTTTGGAAGCCCTCTGTTGTTGTTGTTATTTGCCACTGACTTAGTATTTGGAATACCTCTATGATATCTCCCAAGGCTGCTGTTAAGCTTTCAGCTTTCTCTAGCTATATACTCTTTCCCTTTTCCCTCCATTATTAAGTCTTCAATTAGCATCTTGGTACTCATACCATCCGAACCATCTCCACTCATCCAGCCTAACCTCTTCCATGGCCTCCCAGAACGTCTACTTTAGCTGCTCCATAGCTCAACTTGTTGTTGTTGTTGTTATGTGCCATCAAGTCGGACCCGACTCATAGTGACCCCTCCTTGGGTTTCCGAGCTACCTCAAAACCAAACTCAGTGTCTACCCCACCCTCAAAGTTAAATAAGCCTTCCCTCTCCAGTTTTCTTTTGTGGTAAATAGAACCACAAATCTTCTAAATAACTCAGATTCCAAACCTTCTCTTTTCAGGCTGTATATGTAGCTAATTGTCAAATTATGCTGATTATTATTTCTTTGATTTGTCCCTTAAGTCTTTCCACTGCTACCAACCAAGGCAGACCCTCATTACCTCATGCTTGACCTATCATGTCCTCCCAATAGTCTTCCCAGACTTATATTATTGTCCTCAGACTGACTGTCCTTAACTACAAGCCACTTCTCTGTTCAGATGCCTTAATTGTCCCTTGATCCCTCACTAATCTGATCTCTCTTTACCTTTCCAACTACTGGCTCCTGAATACAGACCCTGCCCTTCCAGTGGTCCAGCCCCTTCATTCCCATTGTTCTTGCTCATATGCCCTGCCCAATCTCTCCACCAATATAAAGGTAAGATCCGGTCATAATGACTTTCTCAGATCCCTTTTCTGGGTCTTCCCTGCTCTCAGATAATTTCCAAGCTCTTTGGTACGACTGATTGGGCATTTGGTTATTTCCAAGATCTTTGGTATGACTGATAAGGTTCTCCAGGATTTAGTCTCCCTCTAGTTGTCAGACCTCATCTGTTATTCCTCTTTCCTTTTATTTGTAAGCAGTAGTTTTAACAAGCTATTTAAATTCCACTAATGCTCCATGCTTTCTTATATCTCTGCCTTTGCACACGCTGTCTCCTCTGACTGGAAATCACCCCTCCTTTATTTGTCTGGTCAATGCCTACTTGTGCTAGCACTGTTATAGATTGATTTGCATCCCCCAAAAGTATCTGTCAATCATGGTCATGATTCTCAGTGGTCTGGCAGTTATGTAGTGATGTGATCTAATGTGATCAGCCAATCAGTTGTAAGGGGATTAAGATGGGATACAACACCCTTACTCAGGTCACAGCCCTGATTCAATGTAAGGGGAGTGTCCCTGGGGTGTGGCCCACATCACCTTTTATCTTACAAGAGATAAAGGATGGAGTTGTGAGCAGAGAGAGAGGGACCTACTATCACCAAGAAAGAGGAACCAGGAGTGAAGTGCATCTTTTGGATCTGGGGTCCCTGACCTGAGAACTTCCTAGGCTCAGGGAAGATTGATGCCAAGACACATGGAGATCTCCAAGGGGTGCTGGGCCTACAGATGTTGAAAGGAGACAAGGACCTTCCCCCAGAGCTGGAAGAGAAAGCCTTCCCTAAAGCTGGCACCCT